CCTGGGGAAATACAAAAGCTGTCTAGACACAGTCTGGAGTAACACGCCCTGGGGGGACCCTGTTGGAGCAGGAGGTTGGACTGGGTTACTACTGCGGCTTCTTTCAGCCAGAACCAGTTTACAAACCCAAGTTGCCACGGAAACTTACATTTTCTAGCGGGATTTTTTGAAGCCATGCAATTCTCAGAGCAGTGAGCCTTGGCACTGTTACAAGCCAAGCTCTGTGCTGATAACGGGGCTGAGGTTTCTGTGGTGATGCACAAACAGCCTGACGGGAACAGAGAGCATCCTGTGTGCTCTGTTCAAGTTAGAAACATAAACAAAACAGGATTAAGTACAACCTGACTAATAAAGCATAGGTTGAAGCATAAACCCACAGAGGCACTTAGGTTGTAAATACAAAGAGGGTTCATCTGTGATGTTTCCCAGCATTGTTGATTTGATTTTGGCACCTTTAGGAACAGCATACAACAAGGGCATATCTGAGGGACAGACTGCACAGCCAGAAAGCAAACTGTTGAGCCTCTGACTTGGCTCCAGGCAATTGCAGTGACTGAGCTTTGGTCAGTGAAAGTAAAACCATGTTTATCATTCATCCTTTTAAAATTAACCTTGTTCACCTACAGATGGAGGTTACAGATATGTACCAGGTAAAATGTCTTAAATGTTTGGGATGTTTTGCAAATACTGCTACCAGCTGGAGGTAATTTGTTTAGTTTGTTGTTACTCCCTTTGGTTTCCTATTTTTGCCTTACTCCAAAGACTTGTCAGTTGTCATTTTCAGAAACAAACAAAACAATGATGTTGCAACTCCACTGGCCAGAGCTCTGTTTTTCCTGCCATTTCCCTTTTTCTAGTATAGTTTAAAGAATAACTCTGAGAAATAATATTGTCAGTAAAACCTCCAGTCCTCATTTAGGTTGAGTGAATGCCTTTTTCCCAATCACAGCTGTTATCCAAACAATAGTCTTTACTGTTTGTATACAAACAGATAGATTGTTGTATTAATATTTATATCTTTGTTTCTACAGGTTTTTATTCACAATCCTCATGCCCGAGGACAGAAAATAAACACAAACCGAATAGTGCAAAGTAACCAAGATGCAGACATTTCTCTTCTGAACATTAATCAAGGGATCACTTGTCTGACTTCAGGGGTGCTGAACCCTCAGCTGGGCTATGATTGTCTTCTGGTTGGAACACAGACTAACTTATTGGCTTACGACGTGTACAACAACTCAGATTTGTTTTACAGAGAGGCAAGTTGATTTAAATGTCTGCTTCTTTTAGTATCTCCATAATTTTCTGTTTCTTTGAATTGTAAAGTTTTTACATTACTTTGTCAGCTCATTATGTGTCTGCTATGCATTATTCCTACTGCTATATTCAGACTGTTTTGTCTCTAGAATATCTGCAGTATTTCAAAATTAATATATGAAAATTACTCACGCATACAGATATACATTGCATTCATATGTCCCATCACCTAGCAAGACCAACTAAAAAAAAAAGGGGCATTCAAAGCTCAGCTAAACTGACAGTGATAATGTTGGAAGCTCTCTTCTTCACTTGTGTGGTCTGATGTATTCTTGTCTGCTGTTTCTTTTTCCTCTAATGCTTCTCTACAGGTTTCAGATGGAGCCAATGCAATAGTTCTTGGGAAGCTGGGAGATATTTCACCTCCACTTGCTATTATTGGTGGAAACTGTGCCCTGCAGGGCTTTGATTATGAAGGAAATGACCATTTTTGGACAGTAAGACCATGCATAATAGTTTTGATGTTATTAGAAGATTCTTTCAATGGCACTAAATCATCTTGATTTTCTTTTAATATGATAACTATTAATTTAGTTGTTGATTGTTCTTAATTTATCTCAGGCCTTAAACTGTATTTTGGCCATGTATTCAGTGCACTCAGATGTTACTTGAACACTGATTGTGTAAATTGCTCTGTTGCAGTTGAGATAATAAAAATAATTCAGTTTCTGACAGCTGTGGCCATCACTGAGTGCTGTCCTTCTCTTTGCAGGTTACTGGGGACAACGTCCGTTCATTAGCACTGTGTGACTTTGATGATGATGGAAAAACTGAGGTTTGTAACCATTCACACACAAATTCTGCTGTTCTTGTAGTCTTGTAGTGAAATGATAATAAAAAGCTTAGATTATAAAATACAACTGACTCACATCAGCAGTTAAATTTTCTCATTTTTCTTTATGCCAGCAGCAATACAATGAAATGCCTGTGATCATCAGTTGGCAAGGCATTCATTTCAGTGGTATTTCTTGAATATGCTTATGAACTTTTTTAAATTTCACAGAAACAAGCTTGTTATGTGCAAGCTTACACATAAAAGTGAACTTTTAGAAAGCTATTCTTTTGAAAAGCTTCACTTGGTAAAATTGAGAAATCTGTCTTCATGTCCAGCCCTTCTGTTTCCTTACAGGGACATGGGGAAATGGAATGCTCTTTGCTTTGCTGATTTAAAATGACAATAACTTGTAACACACATCTTGCTGATAATGATGTGAGACAAACAACAGGAAACAGCTGCCATTCTGATCAGGCAGGCTCAAAGAGATTGGTGAAATTGTGAATTTGTATGGCATTCTCTTTTGGAAATGTTTCTTCATCCCAAGTGAACAACTGTGCTTCTGAATATGAATCTTTAAGAAGAGTAATGGCTTCCTAGTGTACACCAGATGCAAATCAATATGAAGTTAAATCATTATGCTAAAAATACTTACTTTTGTCATTTGTCTGAAGACTTTAAACATAATTACTTGAGCTTCTTTGTGTAGTTCCTGAGAAGTCCTCATTTGGAATATCCAGTTGAACTATGTAATAGCGATGGGTAAAGGGCCTTGACAGTTTTCATGTGTTTTTTATAAGCACTAAACTGATACAGGCCCTGCTTGATTGGGATCTTTAGGAAGTGAAATGGTTTCAAGTTTCCAAATCAATTTCTACACAGCTCCTCTTTGTATTTTTTTAATGTGCTGAGAGGTTTTATAGAAACTGGAGACAGTGTCTAGGGATTCAGAAACCAGGAAACTGATCTATGACACTAATTGCAAATGGTTTGCACTTGTGCTTTTAAGTGGGTTTTGCTATATTTTTCTCCTTGATAGAAGTTTATTCTCGTCAGTTAGTGCTACTTTGGGCTGAGTAGAGCTGGCTACAATATCTGACTAACTTGTTGGGCCAGTTACCCCAATGTGCATTTGCTGAGATGTTTTCAAGGTTCTTTTTGATCTTAATTATCTAGGTGATTTTAAAGGATTTTTCTTATTTATTTACTTTTATTTGTGGCTTTTGTGAAACTGCCTCTGGTTTAAAACTGAAGTTCTGAGAAAATGCAAGAAGAAACTTCCTAAATTATCACTTTGTGTCTTACCGGTAAATAACTATGTTAGCTTCATTTCCACCCCAGTAAAAACAATTTTACATTTAAAATTTACTGATTTAAAAACTGCCTTAATATACTTTTAGTAGCTAACAGAACTAACTTGTCACTGCCTTCCTCAGGATTTTTGGATTGATGAAGGTTACATTCTCCCATCTGGCAGAAGACTTGTGGAGCAGAACGTAGACCTGCTCTTTCAAATTTCTGTCCCGTGGAGTGGAAGTCACTGAGGTGGACAGGGTGAATCAAACTAACAAAAAAATCTAGGCACCTCTGGAAAACACAGCATCACCAGTAATTGTTTCAGGATTGTGTGCTTTTGTCTGGTTGCCTTTTGCTGGTGGTTGCAACTTCATCAAGAAATCTGTGCTTCTTAAATATGTTAATTTTTACAAATAATTTCAATAGCTATAATTTCAATAGACTTAGCTTGGTATGATTTAGGTTGATGTAATCTGAAGCATCTTTACTTGGGAAGAAAAAAAGCCTTTAATATTTTTAAAAATCCAACTTTGTTATGGATTTGTATCTCTTGTGCCAAGTAAAGATGAAAGGCTCATGGGTTTCAGTGGGGAAAAGTACTACCAGGTTTTAGACTTTGATTTGTAATTCTGTTTTTCATTAATTTGATGGATGACTTTGTGGACAAGGCACTGAGGAGATCTGTTCCTTGGTTTCTCAATTTGCAAAAGAGAACCTGACAATTGTCATCATCTTCAGTACAAACTTTTCCATGTGGTAAACTAGGAAACAGGAAAAGAACTAAAATGTAGGAAATATTAAGGAGTGAGGATGCCGAAGACCCAATTCAATGCCTATTGGTATAATCATTTACATCAAGACAAAGCTGATTTTTCTTCTACTTGGCAGTAGTGGCAACCACCACTTAGGCTGGAGAAGCAGAGATGGTTGATACTTGGTTTCATTGAGTTTGGTTTGTTTGTTTGTCTTGGGGTTTTTTTGTGTGTGTTTGTTTGGTTGTTTTTTTTAAATGAGGAATCTTCAGTGCAACACTTGCAACGTGTCATGGATCTGTTAAAACCTCTTCATTGCTGCACTTGAAGTATTAATTTGTCCTCTGGATCCTGGTGCTTGCTTCCTTAGCTTGAATAATTATCTTTAAGGAGCACTGTTTTTTCTTTCAGCTTCTTGTTGGCTCTGAAGATTTTGACATCCGCGTATTTAAGGAGGATGAGATTGTGGCAGAAATGTCAGAGACAGAGGTAAATTATTTCTGGCTAATATTTATTATAGTTGCTGACAGAGCTGAAAGTGTTGTGTACTCTAAAGCTTCTCTGGTTCAGATTTATTGTGTAGTTAAGTAATTACTTAACTATTTGGCACAATATCTGCTCTGCTAGAACTGTGAAAGTTTGAGTTTAATAATGTCTCTCATTATGCAGGGGGCTTTTGCTTTGTTTATTTATAAATCTGTCACCCTACTGAGAAAAGTGACTATTCTTGGCTGACAGTCAGGAGCCTGTGCAAGGGTGATTAGGGTTGCTGGATTGTGATTGAAGCTCTTAGGGTCCTCTGAGTAAAAGGATGCCTTCTGCAGTTTCCCTCAAATATTTTTGATGCAATCTAGATGATGTAACTTGTCCCTGTGTGTACATCCAGACAGTGCCTGGCAGGGTAGAAGGGGAATGCCCAGGCAAAACTGAAAGATTATGTTATAATTGGAGTTACTGGCTGTATAAAAAGAGCTGTGGTGACTAAAGCAAGGTGTAGGGGCAGATATGTTTAGAGGGAGAGGAGTAGCTGTAGGAGTTGCTGTTTAACGTAATTGAGAGAAGATGCCCACTGATTTTGGTTTCTAGGAAGGGAGGAAAATATCCTTATCACTGCATTTAGAAGTGTTCTCAGTCCTCTCACAGCCCTTCTGGACCCAAGGTAGAGTGAGGTCACAGACCTTTGTCCTTTAAGATCTGTGGCCTTCCTGCTGCCCAAGATGGGACTAAAAGCCTTAGCTAATAAGCCACTTATGAAGAGCTATAAAAGACAAAGCCAGGCACTGTTCCAGAAAAGGAGGTTGTTGCTATCACTACAATTAGAACTGGGCCTGTGACATGTCTTGCTCTCTGTGCAGTGGCTAGTCTGGTCATAGATATTTCTAGTTAAAGGGATGCTAAAGGTCTGTCACTCTCAAGTCTGCTTTATTTCCAGATCCTCAGTAGAATTGTTTTAAGTTCACACCTGCAGTCATAGGAGACCTGTTATGATTCTACTGTTCTAACATAAAAGGACATAGTAGAACCTAAACCTTTCTTTTTAGGAAGGTAAATTCAGGGCACAGTGTCTTTGTACATTATATTTGGTTTGGAAGTCTTGGGTAGTTTTCATTTTCTGTGTTTAATCACTGACTCTGGTGAAGCTGAAGCTGTAGATTGTTGTGATTCTTATAAATGGACAGTAAGTTTGGGTTTACTGTTACCTTTGAGTTTCTGACTGTTGCTGTGGTCTTCTGTCCTTACTGGGTGCTTGTAATTTAGTTTGATACTTAGGAAAGACTCAGCAGAAGATTGTGAGAGGAAAGGATAAAGGGTTAGGAAACAAAGTTTTGTGGTAAAACATCCAAGGGGCACAGTCAGATGAGTTTAGATAAAATGTTGGGGAAGAATTTAATTGAAGGAAGTCTTCTGTGCTACGTTGTACAGAAGACCAGACAGATGATTGCAATTGTTCCTCCTGAAATTAAAGTCTTTAGTCTCAGTGTGTATGGGAAAACCTGCATTTCCAAGCCCTGAGAACCCTAGCTCAATGATAAATGGGTTTTAAAAGGAGTGAGAAACAGGCCAAGTTATGACTCTCAGGTCTTTCTCTGGAGCTTATTCAGGTAGGACACCTAGCCTGGTGTTCCAGTTGTGTTCCAAAGGTGTCCAACTGTGGCAGTTTTAAATTTTTATCTTACCAGTACTGGGCAAAGATTTTCTACCAGTAAATATCTCTAGGGCTTTCCTAACCCAGGCAAGTTGAACCTTTGGCATCATCAGCTCCTCAAGCTTAAGGGATATTGTGTGTAGTTTCTCAATGTTAGTGTGTTAGCACTGATGACCACAGGAATCCTATGAGCAGTTGTTTTGCTGTCTGTGGTAGGAAATAGTTGGTCAAAGTACACAGTTTGAGGGCAGTTCTGCAATCCTCGCTGAAGTGTGTCCTAATACTGGAAATAGAGCTTGTGTGAGGAAATCCTACAAGGCCTTCAGTGATTTCAGACTGATTATTAAAAGTTGTTACTTCAGTATTTAATACTTCCTGCCACAGACTTACTTACCACTTAAGCAACGTAGGACTCATATGACAGATGTATAGCCTGTTCCCTGTTAGGTGAAGTTGCACAAGTGGTCACTCCTGTGTCCTCTCTCTCCCTCCTTTCCCTGCAGACCATCACTGCCCTCAGCCCCATGTATGGCAGTCGCTTTGGCTACGCTCTTGCCAACGGCACCGTAGGCGTTTACAACAAGGCCGCGCGCTACTGGAGGATTAAGGTTAGTCCATGGCTGGAGCATCATCACTGCAGGCTTGAAGGCTGCCTGGAGACTTGGGATCTAATTCCAGGTCATTCTGATGTTACCCATAGGTGAACTTTGCTGAGCAGAGAACTTAATGTAATTTTGTTCTTGCAACATCTACCTGTTTTTATATGTTCATATAAAATACCAGATCAGTTCCTGAAGTACTTTTGGGCTGTTGGTGGTGGTTTAAACAACAGGGATACAACCGTAGAACTAGGGATTCTTCAGCTTAGCAAGAGACATTTGAGTTTGTGTTAAAAAATCCTCTGGCTGAATCAAGAAACTTTTTCAGAAGCTGAAATCTTGCATTGTCTATGTTCAAGGTTAATTTTTCTCATCAATAGCAACTTCCTGCTCCAGCAAATCAGTTTGACAAGATCCTTTCCTAATGCTCTTTTTGATATTCTTAATATAACACAGAACAGTATATTAAATAGTAATAAGAAGATTCCTTGAGAGGTGGCAGGAAGAGGCTCATGGTTGTCCTCAGTAGTCTAATTTTATGACCGTGTTGAGGCCCTGATACTTTTTTTTCCTAGAGGATTTGGTTTTTTACACTTTGTCTTTGTGAGTTCTGATCATCTGCTTGGATGGAAATGTATTTAAAGGAACTATCAAGTACTTTAAAAGCTGTGTACTAGATTAGTAGTGCATGGGCCAAGATGTCACATATGTCTGTGAATTTGGTGATGTCTTGTTAAGAGGCATAGTTGTACTCCTTTCTGTACTCTCTGTAGTTTCACAGTCCAGTGTTTTGCAAGTGGCAGGCATGTGAAGTTTAGAGAACATATCCAATCTTAATTTGTTCTTTCTTTTCTGCCTTCAGTCAAAAAACCAAGCAATGAGCATACATGCATTTGACCTGAACTCTGATGGAGTGTGTGAGTTGATCACTGGCTGGTCTAATGGGAAGGTGAGTTTATACAGGGGGAAATTGAGGAGCTGTAGATATGGGGGCTGTGTTTGAACAAGGCTGTTAAGTTATCTGATGAACAACAACCAAAAAATAAAAAAGACTTAGAAACTTGAGCACTGCAGATCTATTGCAATAAACCTAGTTTGGCTTCTGAGTCTTGTGCCAAATGCAAGATCAGAGAAAAGCTGCTTCCCCTGCTTAGCTCAGAGTCAATTGCAAAGGTGTGGCAAGTTGTTTCCATGGCAGCAGAGATCATATGCCACATCCTGGAGTTCTTGAGTGTCTCTGTTCAGGTGTGTCTTGGGGACACGTGAATAATCCTCTGCAGTGTGATCTGAATGTTCCCAAACCACAGGGAAGACAAAGCAGTTATGTAACAGGAGAGCAGCGTCAGTCTTGACTGTGGCAGGATTAATCAAGCATTATTTCATTTTATGTAGAGCATTCTATACAGCTCAGTTTTAGTCTTTTAAGCCTGTTCCTTGGTATTCCCCTTTGCCAGAAATGACTGTTTTAACTGCCACATCTTTCCTGGGTGCAGCTTGCCAGGTTTTTCTGTAAAGTTGTGCTTTTTTCTTCACACCTCTTATTACTCTCATTAGCCTGCGGCACTTTAATAACTTCATATCAAGCTGGCAGTCTGGAGCCCTGATGTGTTGTAACTTACATTGGATTAGATGTGTAACATTGTCAAAGAGAGAGCTGTGGTGGTGAAACAGCAGACCAGAGGCCTTACAAACTGAATCCTGACTCCAGCCGAGAGAATCCGTGAGAAAGCTGACAGATCTTCATGAGACCAGAGTCCTGCAACAGTAAAAAACAACTTGTTTTCCTTGAGAAAGAACTCTAAGACTGTAGAAAACAACCTGCTTTCCCTGAGAAAGAACTCCAGGACTGTGAAAAACTCTAGCCACCTGTATAAATTGTTTGTACACCGTTAGGCAGAAAAATGAAAACTGTATGTCACAAACAACTCATTCTGCACGTACACACCAGCAGATTGAGTGAGCAATCAATACAGGGTAACAGCTTGTTACTGCCCAGTTGGGGCTAGACAGGGGATGTTCTTTAAAAACTCTGTATAAAGAGATGCATGAATAAAACAGGATATTTCCTCTTTGCTCCATAAATGCATGCCCTGCATCTTTCTTTACTGAGCTCCACAGTGACAGAGAACCTCTCCTTGCTTTGCTCCTGTTCTTTTCCACTGGTAGTCCCTACCCAGTTTGTTGGTCTGAAACAGTCCATAACTCCTAGAAAGAGTCATGCTGTGACCTGTGCTTTGGAAATTACACAGTGCATGGAACTGAGCCCACCTCACCCTTCTTATCGAATGAAAGGTAATTGAAGGTTGTGGTATTTGTGTATAAAAATAATTCACCACACAAGGGCTGCAGCTGAGAGGAGAGGTTGTAAATACTGCATTAAAGTTATTTCTGGTTTAGTCCCATCATTGCTGCATTATATGTGCATAACCTTTCCATTGCAGATTTGCAGTTCCTTTTATTTCCTTCCTTTTTTAGTTTTGTGACTTAGGGAAGCATCTCTGAAGAGAAGTTCCTGCTAGCTCCTTCTAGAGTCTGCCTAGAGGTCATTTCTTGATAGCACTTTTCTCATGTGTGGTGTTTAGATGAGCAGAGCTGCCACTTCCCCTGCAGTTCTGTGAGCAGAGGTGGCTCTCAGTTAACAGCTCATGACACGTGTTTTGGAGTTGGCTTTTCTCTTCATGCTGAGGCTTGGAACTTTGTTTTTCCAGGTTGATGCACGCAGTGACCGGACTGGGGAGGTCATCTTTAAGGACAACTTTGCTTCCTCGATTGCAGGGCTGGTGGAGGGGGATTACAGAATGGATGGGAGCACCCAGCTAATCTGCTGCTCAGTTGATGGTGAAGGTAAAAGCATTGTTAATGATATTAATGTAACACACAGCAATGTCAGGCACATCACATCATCTCAGATTAGCTAAACATGGTTTTGGTTCCAATGTTTTGTGTGCCAAATTCCCTTTGCTTTATAGTTAAGGGAATTTTGAGCTATGCTATCTGCAAACAGGATTGTGAATATTGCCTTTTCGGTGAGAATCAGCATGTGTTTCATTATGATCCAAGAAACCATCAAAATTCATTTGTCTAATGGAAGAAACCCCATCCTAATGCAAAGATAATGATATTCAGTACAGACTCTGGTTCTTCAGGCTACATTATAATAGATGTATGTATAGGAAATCTTTTTTCTGTGTTTTAATTTTTTGGCCACTTTACAGTAGGTAAAGGTGTTTAAAGAACTAAGGATGTGTGTGTGTTTTGGTTTTCTTCTGCAGATGAAGAGTTTTTATATTAGAAATTTTAGATGTTAACAGTGCTTTGTTTCCTGGAAAATGCTATCCTGAGACTGAAGAAGTGGTGGATTTATCCCACCATGCATTACGAAGTCAGACCTTGTTATTGTGAGTGGAAATAAATATGATCACAGATGATTTAAATAAGCTCAGTATGAATTTACAGGGATGGCTCCAGGAGAGACACTGGTGTGATTATCCGACTCCTTGGCGTCAGTGGCCTGAGACAAGCAGGTCTGGCACAACCCATTTGAAACAAAAGCCTGTCCTTGTTAAATTGCAGTGTGTTTTGCTGACTGTCTTAATCACAGGCTGTGGGGATTTGCTGCATTTTGGCTTCAGCCTATAAACCTTTTTCCCAAGCTTATGGAAGGGGAACATTGTAAGCAGTTCTGGAGAGCCTTGTCCTGCAGAGTTGTGTAGGTTGGTATCATAAACATGATCATCCTTTTCTGGTGTGTCCACTGTAGACAAGCCTTGCATGATGGGATCCCTTCAGGCCTTAGTAATTAGTGTGGCTGGGAGTGAGTGAGAGAGTGTTATTAGAGTTCTGTTTAGGACCAGCATCCTTTCACATGAGGTGTTCTCCTGTGTTGCAGTGGTTTTTGTCTTGCTCTCATTTTAAGTGAATGATTCACTCAGAAATAATAAAGTGTGTCTTTTCATTGGAGGGCAGTGTGCAAGCTGAATGATTTCAAGTTCCATGCAACTTCTTAGAGGGCAGCAGTCATTTGCAGTCAGGCAGCATATTCTTCCGAGGTGGAAGATTTTTGTCCCTGGCTTTCATTGTCAGAGCTGCAGTCAGGGTGCACAGCCTTAGAGCAAAATGAAAGTTGTCTGATCACCTGTTTAGGTCCTCTGTCTCCACTGACACTTAGAGGTATTTCCATAACTCTGTGCTCCACTGGGCTACTGGGAAACAAATCTGACCCCTTGAAGTGAAGTATCCCTTGGTTTGGGGAAAAGGTAATGTGGGTAAATCTTGTTTACTGGCTGATTAACAGTGACTTGCAGCCACTTCCAGACAGCAACAACTCCTCTGACCAGCTCTAGAAATCCAGGTAGACATTTTATTAATTTTGCATAATTGTAAACTTGCCTAAGCACCTTAAAGAATGATTGCAGTGGGAATCCTCTTGCAAAAGGACTGGGTGCTGCACTTGTCTGGTCAGGTGAGTACAGCTTAAAGACAGGTTGGAAATTCACCTTTTTTTTTTTTTTTTTAATATGCAGTTTTCTTGCCTCAGTCACCAAGAAAGTGAGAGACTGTGGGTCTAAATCAATGCTCAGGTTTTCAGCTGAATAGTACTAGCTGAAGACCAGAACTGCAGAGGTGGTACAAGGGAGTCATGTAAGAGAAACTGAAGTTCTGGGCAGGTTGTTGAAGTCTTTGCTGAAATGGGCTATGTTTTGTTTTTGTACAGTTCGAGGCTATCTGCCAGGAGGGGAGGAAATGAAAGGGAACCTAATGGATACAAGTGCTGAGCAGGATCTTATCCGAGAACTTAGTCAAAAGAAACAAAATCTTCTGCTGGAATTGAAAAATTATGAGGAAAATGCAAAGGTACTGCTTAAATAATGTGTAGGGCCAAACCACACCTTGGTGTTGGGATAAATCCAGAGTAATCTGGGAAGCTGTTGTGGGGCAGTCCAGACAAGTCAGAGCTGTAGCTTGTCAGGATGCAGTGAGATTGTCTGCTGGGGGCTCCTGCCTCTGCATTTGGCTTGCTCCCTGTGCAAGTTCAGGACTTGCTTTTTGTATTTTAATAATGCTTTCTTTGCTTCTTCCTCTTGCCAGAGCAGTTGTGCTTAGAACTGGATTCCCTTCAGCCCTGTGCTTTGGGTTATGACTGAAAGTTGTAGTTTGGGTTATGACTGAAAGTTGTAGTTTTCAGTGCATAAACCATCTTGGGAGTCAGAGGAGATTGTGTGAGAGGATCAGGGAGCACTGCCAGCATGTAGGAATCACACTTGTGGCTTCATGGTGAACATTTCAAAAAATAGTCTGAAGAAAGAGCAAACTCACCTTTGAACAGCAAATTACCACCATGGCAGAAGCTTTTAATTCTCTAAGTTTTGTTTAAAACTGACATATGTGAAGTGTTTTTTGAGTAAAGGTTTGCATACAGAGCTGATGTCCATCCCTAGTGAAGCACTCAAACATTTTGTAGCCCAAGTGTCTCCAGCTCCATGCTTAATCCAGCCAACTCACAGCTAGTTGGAAGTGCCTGGGAATTGCTGTAATACAACCTTCCTCTGAAAGAAAAGATAACTGACTTGTTTATATGACTTGTGTATATGTTTTCTAGGTTTTTTGAATGAAAATCTTGAAATTCTGATACTGATGGCTGGTATGTGTTTTGTAACAGGCTGAATTGACCACTCAGTTGAAGGAAGCTGATGGGCAGAGAGGTCTGATTCCAGCAAACACCCAACTCCAGACAGCCCTTGCAGTTAATCTGGGCTCTGACAGCCAGTCTGCCCATGTGGAGCTGTGTATTTCCACCACAAATGGTGAGTGGTAACCTGCAACCATTGATATTCAGCTTCATGTAAAATAATGCAAATTTTTAGTTATATTTAGCTGGTGATTTGAATGTCTCCTTTTTATTGTCTGTAACGTCCCTTTTGTGGTTTCTTTCCTTTCACAGAATTTTGAATCGAGCTTTGTTCCTTGGATGGGTCTTGGGGGAGAGGAGTTTGATGGAATTTGTTTGTTATTATGTGTTATTTTCTGAGGCAATTAACATTTAACTTGGATGAAACCAGCCTTGTATGAAAACTGCAGGGTGATCCCTGCAGCACTTCTTGTGTTGATTGTAAACACCAACCCACAGCTGCATTAGTGAGGGTGTTGCATGAATGCAGCTGGATCTCAGCTGGCTTTACATGCAAAACTGGAATTACCCCAACACAGTAAATTCACCTTGCACCAGGCATGCTGAGGATGCAGTCTGGTCCAGATAGTCCTGGTCACCTGGGATATTTTAACAATTCAGAGTAGTGATGTAAGGAGTTGAACGTGCTTAATTCTGAAAACAGTGGTGGTTTGTTGCCAGAGGACAGCTTTTAATTTGGGAACTGCTTTTTGTTCCTGTTGCTAAGACACAATCATCCGTGCTGTGCTGATCTTTGCTGAGGGCATATTTGAAGGAGAGAGCCATGTGGTCCACCCCAGTGCCCAGAACCTCTCAGGCTGTGTTCGTGTTCCCCTTACTCCACCCAAAGATGTCCCTGTGGATTTGCACATCAAAGCCTTTGTGGGGTACCGAAACAGGTGAGTTTGTGGTGTGATCTCTGCTGGTCTCCAAACTGTGGCACCAGGACACAGCAATAATGTGGTTTCATGCTTGTCCCATGGGAAGTGCACCGTTAATTCCTGGGTGCCCTATTTCTTTGTCTTAATGAAAGGAGAGCTGGGATGCTTTCTTAAAAGCACTGATGCACCTGTGGTGCTGAGTTCTTTTCCAGACAAACTCTAAATGCTCTGGAATCACTGTGATCTGCTGTGTTCTGGTTCTGCTTTTAGAGAAGGAATGCCCATTTTTCCAGGAGATGTCTTACTGGGGGAATCCACAGATGCAGAGACTCTGTCCTGTCTTCCCTATGGGGCTGAGCCCTGGATCATGGCTGCTGTGGATGGAGTACTTGAGCAAGCCTGGGGACACAGCTTTGTTTCTCAAGCTATAAAGTAACCCTGAACCCATTTGGCTTCAGGGCAAATAGAAAGGAACACATGCTTGATTTCAATACAACATTTTTCCAGTCTCCCATAGAAATCTCTCCATAGAAAATGAAACACCTCTTCATATATCCTTGAAAACAGCTTTCTTCCTGCTCACATCTGCCAGAGCTGTTGGTGCCTGAGGAGGCTGCATTCTTTCCCTGAATAGGAAGGCATATTTTGAGAGCTAGCCACCCACTGTAGAATAACTGTATGGGACTGAATTCCCTTTCTGTTTTCTCTATTTGCCTTTATTATTGCTTTTAATAGAACTTCACTGACCTTGTAAAGAAAATACCCAATCATATAGTAAAATAGTAAATGTATTAGCCTAGAGAGTATGCTTCAGTGGAAGGGTTATTGAAAATGACAGCAGGGGAGAGGAATCATACAACCTCGTGATAAGCATGGAATTTCCAAGTTTCAGTGTTTTTTCTGGGGAAGGAGTAAGCAGCTGATGATGTACCTGAAAACTGTGGATGTTAGTCCTCAGCTAAAAAAGAACCAGGAACCATTGCAATAGGTGAATCCCTGCTGTATTATTAACTCTCAGTTTTTCTGTTGGGTTGCTTCCAGCACACAGTTCCATGTGTTTGAGTTGACAAGACAGCTTCCCCGCTTTTCCATGTATGCCCTGAGCAGCCCAGACTCGGCCACAGAGCCCCTGAGCTATGTTAACTGTACCATGAATGAGAGGCCACAAAGGGTGAGTTTCTGCTCTTCTTCCTGGTTTCAAGTCTTGCATAGATGGACGGTTTGCAATCAGCTTGAGATTCCCAATAGCAAAGGAGAAATTATGCAGTGAACTGCACTACTGGCCTTCAGAGTCTGCGTATTTCAAGTCAGCCCTGCTTTTTTCTGTCTTTAAAAGATGACTCAGTTGAGGCACTCCAAGCATCAGGAATTCCTGCAGGAACTAAAGGCCTGAGATCAGAGGGTGTTTCAGATATTATCTTGTTTGCTGTGTGCCTGCTGATAGCAGCAGACCTGTAGTGAGTGTTGAATTTTGCAGATGAGTGGAGAACAGGAAAAAGGCAATACAGTGCTCAGGTAGTGGCTCAGTTTCATAGCAGTCTCTGATTGTTGGATTTGATTATTTTTTGAATATTCAGCTTCGGTGCAGGATTCAATTGTCCTCATTCTAAGAAGTTCATGACATGGGGTTATGGGATGAAATTTAGTAAATGAGATTTCTGTGGTACCCTGAACAGAGCGTTCTAGTGCACATTATTTGCAGGGTCATTGTGTGGTCCCCAGGCTTTACACACAAGGGATGGCTGATGCTCTTAATTTTATTTTTGCAAGATCATTATGTGGCTGAATCAGAGCTTCTTGCTGCCAGAGGATGCAGAGTTCCAGAGTGCTCCCTTCCAGGTTTGCTTCACTTCCCTTCGTAATGCAGGTCAGCTCTGCATCAAAATCAAGCCTGGTGGAGAGGTGAGTACCTCCCTGGACAAGGGGAGCAGCCCTTCAATGATATTCCAGTAAAACCAGAATACCCATACTGCCAGGAGGAGGCAGTAAAATAAACAGGCAGAGAAAGTACTCATGCTTTTGGAAACTTCTGTGTCTGTTTACTGTCAGTGGGCCTGTTAGTGAAGTAAACTGCTTAGCCTGAGGATCTGTAGGAAGGAGGCAAATTATTTTCTCACAGAATGGTTTCAGGGAGCCATAATGTGAGGAACAAAGTCTGCCTGTAACTGGTCCTGTGTGCACAGATGCCTCTCTATCCCAAACCTGAATAAAAGCTCCTTTGAAATCAGTGTGTTCTTGTCTACTGGAAGCTGTAGAGCTTGCCCATGCCCTCTTGATAAAAGGACCTGCTTTGATAGTGGGTAACTGTTGTTAGGCAATACTGCTGGGCAGTTTCAGATGTTCTGGCATGGAAGAGTGCTAAAGTGCTTTCTTTCCTTTCTGACAGATTTCTATCAACACAGATGATATTGATCTAGCTGGTGACATTATCCAGTCAATGGCCTCTTTCCTGGCCATTGAGGATTTGCAGGTGGAAGCAGATTTTCCTGCCTACTTTGAGGAGCTGCGGAAAGTATTGGTGAAGGTGAGGAGGCTTTGGACATTTCTGAGTATACAGATAAGCAGTCACTGGGTTTTTTAATGAGAGAATCTCTAAACTATTTTATCTTTGTTGTGAAAATCAGCCCACAGTGGCTTGCTGAGTATTCTGTGGGACACTCAACCTTCTGTCTGTTTTTGTTCTGTAGAACAGGCCCTTAGACCCATCAGTTGGTTGTTTAGGATAAAGTAAATATGTTATCTGGGAGACTGAGCTCTGGGTTTGGGTCAGCATGTGAGATGTGTATCTCAGTCTGCTCACCCTTTCTGGGGGCAGTGGGGAGTGAGGGGAAGGAGAACAGTGTCAGGGATGCTGGTTGGTTAGGTTGGGATGTTATTTCCTACTGCACTGGGGCTGAGGTTTAGCCTGAACCCTGTGTGCCCAGGATGCCAAGGACCCTTTCTCATGAGCTGTTTGCCCTGGACAGGTGGATGAGCACCATGCAGTGAATGAGAGGCTCACTGCTGACATGGCTGAGCACTCCAACCTCATCCGCAGCATGCTGGTTCAGGCAGAGGATGCCCGGCTCCTGGGAGACATGTGAGCAGTTGCTTCCTGGTTTGTGTGTTTGGGGTTTAGAATGGCCAGTCTTTGTTTCTCAGGAAGGAAAGGGCACAGGAAAACATTGGTGTGATACAAGATTGCCTAGTTACAATTTTTGATGTAGAATTGTACCTTTGATGGTCTCTCCTTGAACCATGTCATGTTCTTTAGGTAGGAAATCAGTCAGGGGAAGGCAAGAGGGCAAGGGTGGGGGCTTAGTGTATAGCAGCTTGAATCTACTTCAAAATGGTGAGATATGTTAGAAAAGATATATTAAGGGAAGAAAGCAGGCAAAGCTATCTGTAGTGTGTGAAATTTTGAAAACACCAAGCAAGAAAGTTTTGGTGTCAGGTTTTCACAGTGATTTGCTGTTTTCTGCTAATTTTGAGCTTTACTTTGAAGAGCAGCAGTAAAGAGGCCCAAGCTACTGCAGGGCAGTGGTACTTTCACTGGGGAAAGTGGTGCCTCCACTTTGCCTTGTGGATAAAGTAACTGCAAAAATAGGCTGTTCAGGCTTTTTTAGTAAAATAATGAGTATAACCAACATGTCTAGACAAGTCTGTTGTAGCTGGCAGACATGCAGGTGACTGTGGTAGCCACACAACCATGTATTGCTACACCTTAATATTGACAAACCAGGAATGACTTTCTTGTCCTCAGAGACGCAACTAACTGGACTGATTGTTCCCCAGGAAAAGCATGAAGACACGCTACAGTGAGCTGTATGACCTGAACAGAGACTTAATAAATCAGTACAAAATTCGTTGCAACAATCACACAGAGCTGTTGAATAATCTGAAAGCTGTGAATCTGGCAATCCAAAGGGCTGGGAGGTTACGTGGTAAGTCTGTGTTTTGGAAAGCAGTGGGGAGTCTCAGACCCCCAGAGAGGCACATAAGATATGTCCCAGAGGTCACCTGGGTTAGTTAAGTGGCTTCAGGCTTTTTGGCCTGAAACTCAGTAGAAGTAGTTTTTCATTCTTTAGTCATAGCCAGTTATGTGTGACAATCAACTGTGAGGGTCCCATATATTCTGGGATCACAGTTCTGTAAAGAACAATTTGAAATAATTTCCACATTTCTGAATGAGGCAGAAATTGATAGTTTTGTTGAACATACTACTTTAAAAATGTTTTTAGAATTACTTCAGTTCTTAGTTTATAATTCTTCTTTAAAAAAAAGCAACTACTAACTTAAGCAGGACTGTTTTATTTGCATTATTAGTCCTGTTGGTCTTTGGGGAGGGAGGTACTTTTTTGTATGTTTATAACATTCCCCTTCCAACAAACTCTCATAAAACAGAGCTACAGGGGATTCTTCTTTAAAAGAAAGGATTTTATTTATGTACTAGAAAAAAGGCGATGATTCATCATGTGTTTAAAAAGCATTTGAAAGAAGCCCCAAAATTTTCAGCCTGGATCAAATAAGTATTTTTACCAGTTTCTTACTCTATAACTGAGGTTTTTTTACCTTTCTTTTCCTTTTTTTTCCTCCTTGCAGTTGGCAAACCTAAGACACAAGTGATCAGTGCTTGTCGGGATGCAATAAGAAGCAGCAACTTCAACACACTGTTCAGGATAATGCGTGTGGGAACAGCTTCTTCTTAGGGAGAGGAGCAGCAGCTGTGCAGAGGCAGTGATTCCATGCACTGAGCAGATAATGGGTGACAAGCAGTTAATTCAGACCCCTACTCCACTGTGGGGTGAAGTAATTACAATGATATTGCTGTAGTTAAGTTGTCAGGTGAGAAATATTACAGAGACCAAAACTCCATGAAGAGAGCATCAGAGTTTAAGTGCAGATGTGGTATTTATGTAAGACAGAAGTTCAAACAGTTATTTTTTATTACAGTAATTTATTTATGTATTTAAATATATTTTGTAGTTAAGGCATTGGTCTTTTCCATTAAAACATAGACTGGCTTGATTGATTTTGTTCTGATTTAGTTGGGGAGATGTTTACTGCTAAATTTACGTGTTGAAAAAACCCAACCCAAACAAATTCTCTGATTTCTGCTGCATGGTTCATTTACACTTGAACTCCCTGTGCTGGAGAGCCCGGGGTTTCACGCAGGGACGCGTGGCTCTCCAGGTAAACTGCAGAGCAGTGCATGAAAACCACCAAAAGATAACATCTTGCTGGCTCTTAAGCCAGAAGATCTTTGACAGATATCCAGTTCCATGTTCTGTGCAGGTAGGAAGTGGTTCTGTTTCATATCCAGCACTCTCCCCACACCTGGATTGCAGAAGGTTTTGCTTCTAGCTACTGGTCCTGTGCTACTGCTGGAAAAACTGCAGATACTGAGGTGGGCAAGGATGCATTTCAGGAACAACAAAAACAAACTACACACCCAAGCTTGGTGCATAATCATGAAGAGCTGGTGGTACTTAATGGGATCAAAGGAAGGTATTGGAAAATGACTTGGCTCCTGGCTGAAACCTGTTTAGTTGTGTGATCTCTTAGAATTGCATTAAAATATTACAGTAAGGCTCTATCTCAGATCTAAAGGTATTTTAGAACCTTTGCCAAAGCAAATTTCTTTTGGAAGCTAAAAATAACTTTTAGAGGATGGAGGTTGGGCCCCAGTGCTCCTGCATCAGCGTCACCCTTGCCACCATACAATGGGCAGGGAGGAGTTGGTTCATCTCAAAGTTCTTGGGTGGCTTCTTGGGGCTGTCAGAAGGAGTCATGGCCTCTAACTGGTCTCTTAATGAGCCACTACTGAATTAAAACCAGCAACACCCTTTGTTACAGAGCCACTGGTGAGCATGGTGTGGCCAGTCTGAATGGGGAATGTAATTCTCACAATGTTTTATTCCCAAAACTGCCCCTCGCCACTGCCTTGGCCCCTTCCATATGGAGAACTCTGCTGCTGAAAGCACAGACCTGTGTCAGTCAGAATCTGCAGCCTGAGCTCATTTCAATCCTTCCAAGAAACTGGTTGTTAGTCAAATCCAGCTGCTTGGTAGAAGGGTGGGGAGCCACCCATGCTGTTCTAAGCAAGTGAGCTCAGAGACTTGATTATGGAACAGTCTCCTGGCATGAGTGCTGGGCTTTCTGCCACTTGCTGTACCTGTTCCCACTGTTTCAAGCTCTTGTTTTTTATGTTCAAAATCCTAATGCTTGCTTGCTTACATTTATGTACTCAATTTAATGATAAGAGAGCGGCTCTGATCAGAAAGCAGCTTTCCCATCAGTCTGATTTTCAGGACTACACCCCCAGCTCTGGTCTGCTCCTGGCAGTGAGGTCAGTCCTTCACTTGCTGTCCAGACCTTTGGTAAGGCTGATTTCCCCTATCTAAGTTTCTGATAATAAATTTGTAATTTATTTTTCTGTAAAACCAACTTTTACCTTTGCCAAATGAAAAATGTGTGTACTTTGCAAGCAGCTGCACCTAATTGTAAATACAGATTGGTATCCAGCAAGAGCATCTATAGAGAAATCTCCCATTACTGGCACTGTATAAATGAAGGCCCCTCTTCCTCCAGTAGCTCCTGTCATTTGAAATTTTAGTGAGTGAAGTCTTTCCTGTGTACCTGCAGCACCAGTCATGCCTGGGGCTGCCTGTGGCTTTAGGACCTAACAAGAAGGGTGGGAGAGCAGAGACATGTTCATTTTTAAACCTTTGAAAGCTAACTGCAAATTTGGCTTCTTAAATGACTTCATCTGAGTCACCAGAGGAAGAAGGGTGGTTCCTTGTGTGATCAGGTAGATAGGGGCTTGCTCAAGCAGAGGCTGGTGTGCCCTCTAGTGTACTATTATTACCCTTATTATTAAAAAGCAGCAAGCTCTAAAGAGCCTGACTTCTTTCCAATCTCCTGGAAGGATGTTCCAAGATCTACCAAGCACATTGTTAGGCTCACAATGCAGTCAAAGAAGGAACTTTGTTTTGTTAATTAATTTACTCCCAACTTTGCCTAGCAGACTAAGCTGTGAATAGCTGTGGTGTCTGTCACTTTTGTTCCAAACTACCCAAATAATTTTTTTTTTCTTTGAAACCTCCATTACTTGTCTTGTTCTAGGGGAGAGCTCAGAAAAAGAACTTGTTTCTATAAGAACTGCTTTCTTCCCAGGTAGAGCTGCTGTCCCAATGGGCAGAAAAAGTGCCTCAGAAATCATGATGCAAAAGGTTCTGTCCTCACTTCAGGATTTGTTCCTAGCTTCATCCCCGTGTCTTTATAAGTGGCAAAGGAAGATTAAAACCAAGTAAGAGAGTTTTGGCAGCACACAGAGATGCTGGCTTTGGGAAATGAGTCAGAGTATGAACAAGATCTTGCAACAGCACCTTGGGGCAACCACCTCCCAGCCGTCCTTCCTGGGCAACAGAGCATGAGGGAGTAGCTAGAACTGAGCAGCTGCTCATCATCTGGGATGGAACTGACACTGGAACTGGAGAGTCCTGCACAGCACACTCTAACAGCAGTGTTGGCCCCTTGCTCTGGCTCCTATGGGGGCTGAGCTACCTTTCCCTTTGGAAGCAATGGCAGCAGTTCCTTTACTGAACTTTGTGTATTGGGATCGAAGCTGAAGGTTGTTGCTCCTGTATCTTCATGCAGACATGGCCACAGGACATCCCACCTGCTCAGGAAAGGTGCAGAGCACTCATGCCTTGCTTTGAGTTTACTGCTCCTGTACTGCCAGCTGTGGCTTTACACAACTGTGGTGGCCTCCAACAACAGGCCCAGAATGGGAGAAGGAGCAGAACTTTAGAGAACTTTAACTCAAAGCTGCCCTCTCCCACCCAGAAGAGACAGGAGCAATAAACATGCACTGCAAGCCCATGGCCTGCACTCTGGCTTGCCTGAGCTGCAGGAACACTTGCCTCTGGGTGACAGAACAAAGTTCCAGGCAAGCAGGTGCAGACCAGGGCCGAGTCTCCAGCAGTGTTCTGCACTCTGGCTGTCTCCTGAAGCATTGCTACAGCTCTGCTGCACCCTTGCTGGGCTGGACACCTCAGAGGTGAGTCTGGCACAGTCCTGCTTGCAGTGAACGTGGGGCAGGTGCACAGTGTTGAAAATGTGCAGGGAGGTGTTGCACCAGGGCCACACTCACTGCCTTTCTTGCAGTGTTTGCCACAGGACTTGGCTGGCTGCTGCCTTGAACATCTGAGCTGATCTCCAGTGACAGAAGCCATGTTAAAACTCAGGAGATCCCAGGACATAACACAAAGGACACAAGGCCATGCTGTTTGGTGACCTCCCTACTAGCTCTGGACACCAAGCCAGTAAAAGGTAAGATGCCTCATTCCTGCTCCCAGTCCCTGGCCCCTGTTCTGAGGCTGGAGCTCAGAGCTGTGTGCACACCCACCCAAGGAGACTGTGCAGGAGCAGGTTTCTTCTTGGCTGTTTAGCTGTAAATTCTTTGGAAAAAGGGCTGCATCTAGGTCTGTCTATACAGCATTTAGCATAATGAAGTCCTGCTTGTTATGGTGCCAAGTCCTTCCCAATGCCTTTATAGCCTCACTGTCTTCCTTCCCAACTCCACAGAGTTGTGCAGCTGGAAAACCCTCATATTTCCCATGGCGGCTCCTTTATTTTTGTCTCAGGAACACAGTTAAGCACCAGAAAATGTCTTGGGCATTTTCTAACAAAACTTGCTTGACCAGGTATGAAACATTTAACTGACCCATTTCCTTTTTTTTTTTTTTTAATAAAATCAGTCAGCAGCCTGTGGCAATGGACAGTTGTAATTCCCACCCTGATGGGTCAGAGATGCCACTGTGCTGCTCCCACGAGAGAACGGCTGGAAAGGTGACAGCTGTGTGACAACCTCACCCACAGAGCATTAAAAGCAGTTGAGAGTGTGTTACAATGGACTCAGAAGAAGACTGAATTCCCCTTTTTGCAGTTAAAAAAACCACCTGCCCCCACATTATGCAGTGTGATGGAGTTGCATGAGCAAAGTTTGTGCTTAGGTCAGAGCTGAATGTCTGTGTGGGAACCTGCCCAGCACCCACCACTGTTCTCTGTGACAGTGGTCACACCACACCATCATTCATAATAGACAAAGGAAAAGTCCCAAAATCCTGTTTTGTTTGGATGCTTGTTCAAGCGTGCCAAGCTTCGATGGTTGATGTATTTCACAAACTTCATCGTTTCTTTGTCTCTATAAACTAAGGCCAAGCAGTTGTCCTCTGGATTCACTGTCAACAGCTAGAGGACACAAAGATAAGGAAAGAAAACAGTTTCACAAAAATAACTTTGGTAAAATTCTTAAGGAAAAACAAAACAGTTTCAAAAGTCAGTTAGAACAAAGGACTGGCATTAGAAAATAATCTGTGACACTATTTTCATTTTTTAATACCTTTTACCTGAAGCAGTTATACATTAAGGGCTTCTGGACTTTGACTGCTCAGCACTGTCCTAGTACTGATGCTGAATGGGACCCCAGTGAACAGCACTTCCCTGGACAAGTGTTATCCCTGCTACAGCCTTGTGTCCCTTCAAGGCAGGCTTCCCAAAGAACCCTGGCTGCAGGTGCTGTGAGGCACTCTCAGGGCCCAGGTCTCATGCTTTAGGTAAACAGCAGCCTCTTGAAGCTGAGGCCAGAGCTTTGCCCACGAGCAGTGACTGGGGCAAGGAGGCTCCAGTGCACTAGTGAGCACTCTCAGCATTATGTTGGCATTATGACTAAGTGTAATTATGTCTCTCCACCCTAAACAGCTTTATTTGATTTTATCTGAGGTCCTTACCTCTTCATCTTCACCTTTAGCAATGTAGGAAGTAAAGCCACCGTATTCAGGATCCCAGTCTTAAAATAGAAAAGAAAGATTCTTAGAAATCTCAGTGCTGTCCAGGCTCCATGCAGCCTTCCAGGAGATGCCATTTTTTCACCCCACTCCCCAGAGTTACTGGATACAGGGTAAGTATTTACCTCCTGCCAGTCTATTTTTTTTTCTTCTGTTCAGAAACAACTTGAAGCAAATGTACTGGATTTCCCTTTTATGGTAGATGGGCTATTTAAAGTTGTTTGGTGCACTGCTCCTCATCTGTAGAACAATTCTGCCCTAGCAGATATGCCAAAGGATTTCCATCAGCTGTACATTCTGGACTCATCTGGTCTAAAATGCTTGTGTTTAGATTTTTTACCACTATCTAACTAGCAATCAACCCAAAATGCCTAGGTATGCCTAAAGTAACTTTTGAAAACGCTGGGCTTTGTGCATTGGAGGTGTAGTGATAATTCTGATGTGCAGACGGGTGGGACGCTCCTGGGTGTTCTGGCCGCCGGTCCCTCCAGCGTGCCCAGAGCCGTTGCTGAGCAGCGAAAGGCCTGGGAGGCTCGGCCTTTCCCTCTGCCCAAGCGCCACCTCCTGGCGCAAGCGGGAACGGCCAGAGATGATTCCAAGGCCACAGTCCCAACCTTTGCATGAGGACTACTGAAAGAGGGTTTATGCCCAAGTGAGGACGAGGACAAAGTCTACAGACACCTTCTATGTAAGCAAAAGCAGGGAAAGTTTGGCTGTTTTAGCAGTGCTGAGAACTCAGAAATCATTCCTTTATGCAAACCTTGTAAAAGGTTTTCATAAACATCTCTCTCTCAACCACTTACCTTCACAGCCACAGAAGAAGAGCAGGTCAAGTGCAAATTCTGTGGCTTGAGAGTCGTGGACCAGAGTGTAGTGCCCGTGGGTCCAGCGCCGCAGCTCCCCCGCACACACAGGGCTGCCCGAGCCTAGGAGAGGGCACAAACACCAGGGAGAGCCATGAAATCACAGCAGCTGAGCTCAAAGCGTGTCAGGAGCTCAGTGATCCCACACCACTGTGAAATTGTCTGCTGGCCCCAGTGAAAAAGGGTAAAACCCCATATCACATGTCAGTATCTTTCCTAGAGGAGACTCTAGGTTAGGTACTTTGAACAATGTGTAGGAGTGGGACCAAGATTTGCTCCATACATCCTCTGCTCCTGGTAACTATTCTGGTGGGATTTTTTCAGTAAGACTTGGGTTTTTCATTACCTTTTATTCCAGTGTCCAGTAACTTGTCTGACTAGTGCAGGATGAGCACTTTCAAAAATTCTACCTTTAAACTTCAGAGCCACTGGTTTTAAATAAACATCACCAATCAAAATCCAAAATTAATCTAATCTTTCATAGTGTCACTGCTGACAACTAAATTCAGCTAATGTATTTTAGGCTGACAGTGTTTTCTGAAAGCTTGAATGCTAGTTTTAGGTATCAATTTTCTAATTCTAAAATTGTTTTATTTCTGACCTGCTCACATTTCTCTTTTGGATTTATTATCTCATACAAGAATATGCTTTATATGAAGCAGGGGTATGTGGATGTAGAAACCACATAACTATTGATAAAAGATTAACAGTCCCCCCAAAAGTCCCACCCTTAGGATTTAGATCTGTTCAAAATGGTATCTTCAAATTAGTAATTGATTTACTCCAAATTCTTTTGCAATGGTCACTGATTTCAGATAATCAGTCTAAAATGCTTCAAGTCCCATATTTGTGCTGGTGCCTTGTGCTGGTTGCAGTACAAGGTGAAACCCTAGTTCCATGAATATCACTGGGAATTAAGTTGGAATCCTTTCACACTGCTGCTGCTCTACTCACTGCTCTGCGTCTCGCCGTCCTGTGCTTCAGGGCTGCTCTCAGGCTGGTGTGGCTGATGGGAATTGCCATTAGCTGGTTGTTCAGCCTCTTCCTGCTCAGGTTTGGGGCTGCTGTGCCCACTGGTGTCTGCTGCTTGTCCCTCCCCAGCATCTTCATCCTCATCAGAGGGAGCCAGGAAGTGCAGTTTTAGGCCAGTGAAGTTGGAAAGCAGCAAAAATAAGGCCTCAGAGCGCAGCAGCTGCAGGAATTTCTTCAGGGTGTCCGGGAGGCTGTCTTCCTCTGCTGCCTCATAGAGTCTGAAAGGAAAGACAGCAGATGTATCTCCTTGTGGGAGAGCCTACAAGGACCACATCTAGATGGATAGCACTGACCAGTGCAGCCTCATGGCAGCTCCTGCTCACCCTGATCACCAGGTGCAGTGTGCTGTCATTCCCCACCTTTTATTGGCTGGCCCCCGACTACTCCACTGGATCTCTTTGTTCTCCAGGGCTTCACATAGTAGTTGGTATTTCTCTTTCTAGGAGAAAGAGATGCAGAAATGTTAACATTTAGCTCCCAAGAAAACAAAGTTGAAGACAAGTGTTTTATTTCTGCTGAGTCCTGATGCAGCAGTGCACAGGCAGTCAGAGGGGATCACTCCACAGAATCAGAGTGGTTCAGGTTGGAAAGGGCCTCTGGAGATCACCTGGTCCATCCTCCTTTAGGTGTGAAACTTAGAAGGTGTTTTGTTTTAATGGATGTGCCAGCAAGCCTTTTCCCAGCCTTCATGTCATGTGGTACCTGCCAGCCCTCTGACCAGCTCTGGCAGATCACATCAAACTGAACCACTGGCCTCACCTTAAGAAAGTCTTTCAGGAGAATTTCTGATCGCTCCTCAAATTCCTCCTGGATTTGAGCTTGGGAGTCCAGGTCCAAATAAACTTGATTGATCCACTCATACAATATTTCATGCTGGAAGGGAAATGGATTAGAACACTGAATTTTGAGAAGTGAAGAAGATTCCCCAATTCCCCCTACTGAGCTGGCAACAGAGCTGGATTCCTACACACAAACACACTCCACTGCCATATTTCACTGCACCACAGGTATTCATCACATTCTCTGAACTAGTGTAGGTATGTAAAACATACAAAGATACATAAGAAAGAAACTGGATACAAATTTATTAACAGGAAATGAAAAGAGAATGGGATAAAGATTAAAGCATCCCCAGTGCACTGATGCATTCCCTAACAGGTATGACAAGAACAGGACAGAGACAGAAATGCAGATATGCAGAAGTAGGCTTGTTACTCACATCATAGGGGATGTGTGGGCTCCTGGCCAAGGGGGCTTCAATGTGCCGTGCAGGCCTGGCCACGGAGGGGCCGTGGAACCAACCGCTCACAGACAGGCGGCACTTCTGTGACAGAACCTCTGACACCTGCAATGACAGGGACAGCACTACTGTCACACAGGGACAGCTG